TATCCCCATAATGGTGACACCCCCCCCCCCCCGACCTTTTGCGCACAAGCTTTTTGGGTTCCACCTACGAGATGAAGCCTAGAGCGTCTAGGGTTTTGTTTGTCCTTCGGACACGCCTCATGTCCTACGCCCCTGTAGACATACGGTAACTCGCGTATACCCACCGCCTTACTCGGTGCGAGTCTATGCATAGGTAGTATTCGCTCTACAGGTAAGTAGAGTGATGTAGACTCCCCCCCCCCCCCCACAGTAGTGTGGTTGGGGTCTACGAGCGAATACTTATCTGTAGAGCACCCCTCCCTCCTTCCCCACTATACTCAATTCCTTGAGTGCTTACGCAGGTAACGCTTGAGAAAAAGAGGACGCTAACGTAGTGCGCATGTCACAGGGTGTCGTGGATAGGACACTTGAGGGCGCTATTGTGTGTAAAACTCTTAGCAAATTGCCTGCCGGCATAGGGAACAATGCATAGGTAGTATTCGCTCTACAGGTAAGTATTCACTCGTAGACCCCAACCACACTACTGTGGGGGGGGGGGGGGATTTAACTGCTCCCTGATTTTGTTGATGTGTTTGTGCAGTTTGCTCTGCAGCGTTGATTCGCTTTTCATGTCCTCAATCAACTCGCTTCTCATTGCCTCAATCATTTCATCCAACTGCTCGAAAATGACTTCATACTTCTCCAGAAGTATCTCGTACGCAGCTAGACTGATGGTATGCAAGTAATCGACCATGTTTGATAACAGTTCACGCGGGTTGCCGTTACTGACAAAACACAGTGGTGCCTCGTATTCCAGAATATTACTGGCAATGCTGACACTCAGTATCTAGTGGCATGCTTCCCAACACAATTTGGAGTCTCGCTGGCGCATTGAGGGAGATACGGACTGGAAGTAGCATATAATCGAAAGTGGCCCTGTAGGGGTTATATTTCATGTCCTCCTCTACATCTATGCCGACCTCGGATAACTTGTCAAAGACAGTTAAGGGCAGTTGGTAAGAACCTCCAATGAACTTGTGTTTGACGTTGACGTCACAAAATGAGTTTGTGACGTAGGAGATCTCTTAAACACGGTGCAACACTTCGAGCAGGCGTACAATCGGCTGTACTTATTCAGATCGGAATTATAGAAAAAGTGGTTTCCCCACAGGTTAAGATACAGAGTATTGGGATAGCGGCGGTGAGAACACCTGATCAGTTCCACCTGTATCCTACATTTGCTGGGATGTTCCTCCTCGGCCTGTGTCATCTCATCAGCCTCGTTTTCACCATCTACGTCATAGGCAGCAGCCGGCAGCAGTGTATATACCTGCACATTCACCTGAAACACCACCTCGGCAATGGCCAGCTCATCAGCATTATTTCGTCTACCTCGTGTACTGCCTTTTCAGTTGAGTTGAATTGGCTCCCCTGGATACGGCCAGACACCGAAAGAAACAGTGACTGTTGTCGTATTTTTCTCCGGTGTTCCAGTTACGAACAAAAGTGATTAAACCCTGGTTGTTTGCAACCTAGGGTGGAAGTTCCTCTACGGGTGAGCCGATGGAAAACTGCGGCATTTTGTTGACGTAGATCGTCACGTTGGTGATGGCTGCAACGGTCCACTTGCATCAAGACTAACTCTAACCGAGTTTGTGGCATACTACGCCATCACTCTTAAAGTGGGAGGGAGATATGGCCAAATCCAGATCGATCCATTGCCTGTTGTGATAATTGTCTATGGGATTCATTTACACTTCGGGAGCAAATGGCACCCTTTTGCTTGTCCTTGGGTACCAACCAATTACCATCTCAATCATTGTTAATGGAGTAAAGTCAGCAGGAGGGTACCTGGATAACATCTATACTACAATCACGAAAATAATCGGAGGGCGCTGTCATTTTCCCGACCGGTCTCCCGTCCCGCCCGCGCCCGTTGGCCGCGGGGGGTGCGGAACGGGGCCCGACTATTTCCACCCTATTTCCCATAATTCCCTTCCCCATTGGGCCGCGCCGGCCATCTTGCTTGCGTATGGGCCGGTGTCACATGAAAATTCGACTCCTATGAAAATCGGACCCCTATTTCCCTATTATTGGTTGATCCCTCGCACGTGACAGGTCACTCTCCCGAAATGATCCTTAAAATAGCGTAGTATATCGTACTCACGCGTGCGCAGTACTACCAATGAGTCCACATTTCATGGAGTCGGATATTCACGCTACACCTGTCGTGCCACGTATACGTATACGTTCGTTTAGAGGAGCTTGCGCTGCAGCGCATGCAACGGTATTCCATGCAACATGCAAAGCTAAAGGCATGCTTGCCCCACATTTTCTCAGCACTACTAGCTTCGTTTGATGGTCATTTGATGCATTGTTTATGCTACAATTTTCTCTTTCAATGGTAAGTCCGATTTGTGCTATGACACATTATAGATTATAGTTAGTAGTAATTCTTTCGAACACCTCTGGCAAAGGATTATAAGTATTTTTTCGAACACCACTGCTGGCAATGACAATTGTTGTTTGTGAAAAGTGTGACCCAATCGCGTGGGCCTCGGACATGGCGATCGTGTAGTATTTAGTATGTAGTAGTAGGGCCCGGTTCCTATAAGGGAACAAAATCTTCTTTACAAAAGCCCGACCAAAATAGTTGGAGACATTCTCAATAAACTGGTATGTCATAGATAGAGGGCCGGGTTTTGATTTTTTTAGAGAAATTTTTTTTTGGGGGGGGAAATTACGATGACAGCGCAGCGAAAACACGCAACCCGAAAATAAAGATGGCGATTACTGCGCGATGTGCTGTGAGCACGCACGGCGCGCAGAATCGTAAGGCACAAACCGCGCAGGAACAATTTATTTGTAGCTATTGTTAGCCGATGTATTTTTTTTTACAAGTTTTCTTTGTTACTCCTTTACACAGGACTCCCGATGACACCCACATCACATGACCAGCTCCAACCATGCTCCAAGCATGCTCCAGTGCATGCTTCAACCAGTTCCCAAAGCAAGAATCTCGACTCAAGACGAAGACGCGACACACCTATTCTTTCCAGTTCATCTGCAAGATTCCTGCTTTTTCTCTTTACCCATTCAAAACACATTTTTCTTCTAGCCATAATTTTATTATTTAGAAGTCATGAAAATGAAAAAGTGCAAAAATAATCACTCTTTTCTGCTGTTTTATGTCCATCCTTTTTTAAAGTTATATCCTTGGCTTAGTTGTACCCAAGAATAATTATGGAATGATTACCCGTCTTGCTTGAAAGTCTTTCATGGAATGTTTTTGCCTATGCTAAACAAGCCTGGACCGACGTCCCTTGCGAAAATCGCTCCGAAAATTTACTACAATTATATCCCCTGAGTTTTGTCGAGGTACTACCCTGTAATGAATGCAAACACATTATTACTAAAAAAATCGTGTGTGCATTGTATCTGATTTCATTTTCACAGTTTTGTAATAAATACATTTAACATGTGGTTCTTGACATAATTATGAAGTGCTCCAATATGTCCTTTCTTATAGTTTTACTCTCTTCTGCAAATAAACGTGTTACAATACTTTGCTCTACAACCCCATCACCATAATAAAAACACCAACTGTTATAATGACATCAACTACTACTTAATACATAAGAAACACCCCCTTCACCATAACGAATATAAATTGTTGCCCACTTCCCCGGAAATATAAGTGACCATTCACAGGTGTAACATAAGTAGGCATGGGCGTCGCAAGGGGGAGGGGGGGGAGCAAGGGGGGCACCTGCCCCCCCCCCCCCCCCCCCCGGAAAAGCAAAGAAAAAAGAAGGGAAAAAAATGAGTTTAATTTTAAATTTAATGAGTTGGGGGGGCTAAATGTCCCTGCCCCCCTCTAAAACTGATAAATGGAGAATGTGTTGAGAAAAACAGGCATTTTTTTGGCAAAAATATGTTTTGCCCCCTCTAGAAAACAAATCCTGGCGACGCCCATGTAAATAGGCCACACAATATCCAACCCCCACCCCCACTGGCTTCCCCCTCCTCTCCTCTGTAGTGAGAACGATGAATACGACGTTGTAAAGGCCAAGATCAAACCGCGTTTCATCTAAATTACCTAATTGTACAGTTGGTGTATACGTCCTTAATGGTTTGGCACCTTGAAAAATCAATGTTCAATTTGACTGGACAATATTCCAGCACAACATTAGTTATGAGCTTTATGTGCATGTAATGAGACATCGCATGAGACAATCGGTCGGCAATAAATACTTAATTTCATTCAACTGTTGACAGCAAGACCTTACTAATCGGTGCGCAATTTAAAACAACATTTAAACGGTATGAATCCCAGCACAAACATAAACCTCCACAATATCAGCGATTTCAATATCACCATCTCCCCTCTATAACAAAAACCATTTCTCCCCTTCCCTGGAAATATTTCTCCCCATCCCCGGAAATATTTGTGACATGGTTGACGGGTTGTACGGAAATTGGGCGTTCCGACTAGCACCCTTCACCCTAGCTAGCCCCTTCCCCTATATTGACAATATGTCCTGGACCCTCGCACAATCTCCGCAGGAAATGTTATGTGCGCGCACGTTGCTAAACGCAAATACAACTTAGGCGAGACTGATGGCGAGTCCAAATAGGCTCGCGTGCAGCAGAGCGTCTGATTCTTTATTTGACTTAACAGTTGTTTGGAGTTATTGGAGTTTAAATTATCGAGATTTCACTGTATACAGTAATTATTACGAAACAGTCAACTCCACCCATCTAGCGGGTGCCGAGCGAAGCGCGGCATCCCGCTAGTGTTCATATAAATCTGACATGGAATGGTGTCCAGCTTGTTCTCTCATAAGCTTTTTTTTTTAACCGTTTACTTTGTCTTACAAGCTAGTTATAGGGACAGCATCCCCTCTATACAGGACCACAACAAAAACACATTTATATACAAAAAAGATAGCTTTATGAGTCTCAGCTCATGGAAAGCTAGGTGACTGGAATCTATTACTTGCAATTGTTCTTATCTGCAGTGCGATGATCATCTGTACATTGCCGTGAATGGTGATGGCTCTGAATCCGAAGTGTTTCTTCAACGCAAACTGCAAGTTCTTCATCGACTGGTTGAATTTTACTATGGGCCTATATCTGATCAGTGAGTTTATTTTATGGAAGCTATCTTTAGCTTTACATTTAACAAAAATAGTGCAGGAGAGCTCAGAATGCAGCATGGAAGGATAAAGGAAGACTGAAGTAGAGAAAGGGAAGAGAGAGATGTTAACAGGGTAAAGTAAAGGTAGAACACTGGAGCTGTGGCAGAGCCACAACATTTTGTTGAATACTGTGTAACGAGTGAGATATGCCATTCAATAGAGGTGTTGCTATTTGTTCTTTGGGCTGTACCGGGGGACTAACAAGATAAGGACTCTGATTCCTGAGTGTGCTTCTGGCAAAGAATACATCTTGATTTTTTTCCTCTTTTCCTATATACCCCACCCAAAATCTCTTTTCCCAGAATAAAATTGTGTGACTCCTGTCCAATGTGGGGGTACAGGCCATCAGATATATTCACTTGTACCAAGTACATGTATATAAATCATCCAGCTACTATAGTTTGATTGTTATTGAAAGTGTAACTATTTTTAATTGTTTTTTTTTTAGGCTTCGACCAGAAAGCGTTTCTGAGAGACAACGCGTATGGGAGGAATTAGCCAGATTGATTGACACCTGGACAGAGTTATATGGCAAAGAGCAATGCTTCCTGGTAGAGGTTAGTTGCTGCATTTTATTGACCCAACAGTTTACATTGAATAGAAGTGGATATTACCTGATTTCCATTGTACATTTTGCAAACGACTTTGACACATTTTCAGGTGATAGGGAGTCTTAATGCAGCTGGAAACAGCTCAAAATTTCTGGGGACAAAATAACTAGAGCTAGCGCATTTGTTACAATACAAACGCAGTCTTTTTTTCTTTTTTTTCCCGACTTTCACTCGGGAGGTAACACACTGAGTATACAGTGTTTAAAAAACGTCGGTGAAGGGCAAAACCTAATTTGATTTATTCATATGTTACTTCCACTTCTGTAACCTTACCGACAAATATGCAAAGTGAAAGGAAAACGTTTATGTGCATGCATTGGTTCACCTACATGTAACTTTCATCATTCGGATGTCTAACATTGGAAAATGTGTTTGAAACCATTCTTTGTGGAAAATTTATAACAATTTTTTTTTTTTTTTGGCTTTTCCGCAAAGTTTGCTTTGGGGTAAAAAAGTCAAAGGTCAAGGTCACCGTAGTGAGTTAAAGGTAAATCGTTTCCGGATGATAACTTGAGTTAGAAATTATATTTTGCTGTCTAACTTCGGTAGGGGTTTCCCATTGGTACAGGCATGTTGGGATTGGTTCTGGGGTCAAAGGTCAAAGATCAAGGTCACCATGTTGAGTTAAAGGTGAATGGTTTCCAGATGATAACTTGACTATGGCTGTTACTTTTTTTTTCTTACTTTTTTTCTTTGGCTTTTTCGCAAATTTGCGAAAAAGACTTTGTTTTTGTTCTGATTTTTTTGTGTTTTTGCAAATTTGCGTAAAAGCCTTTGTTTTTGTTCTGATTTTTGCTTTTCCGCTCGAAAGCGGAAAATCATTGTTTTTGTTCTGATTTTTTTTTTTTTTTTTTTCCCACTGTTTCTTTTTGTTCTTACCCAAATCCCATACACTTTGTACATGTTTTATTGACTGCCGCACTTTGGACCTAAAACAAACTCGTATTCTAATGAAAACTTTGTCATACATCATGTGATTTTATATCGATTTTTGAAGTTTTGGACCTTTAAGCCATATCTCACGAACGCAATATGCTAAATTCAAAATTCTTTTTGTATTATGTTTCTTAGATAACAGGTATATTCACAAAATTGTGAAAATTGTGCGACGTCATTATGACGTCATCAAAAATGCGAATTTTTTTTTTTAACACATATAAGGGAATGTCCAATCATAGTGAAACTTGGTGGTTGGGTAGATAATAGTGCTAGTATACAAAATCTGAAATGACGTCATGATGACGTCATCGGTTGATTTTTGACGATTTTTAAAAATATTTACAATTTTATTCTGCTTACAAAATTTAAAGTTGGAGTCCATCATTTGCAGCTATCCAAAAAAGTAACTGGCGTAATTATTGTTGAAAAACATACTGGTTAAAAGATAGTAAGGGGACTAAACTCCCTGTGAAATTATTCTTTCTGGCAAGCTCTCATTTTGAAGAAATCAACGAAAGAAGGCCTTTCCAACGGTGCGTCTTAAGAAGCACCGTAGGAAAATTTAAATTAGTAGTTCGTTTTGTTATTCGGCGCAGAGCACGCAAGCATTGGCATGACACACAGGCGCGCGCGGTTGCTATAATTCGTCGAATCAGTGCATGACATTGCGTATAGCTGCAATTCAAAACAATTGATTCAGCAACTTTTGATTTGAAATTGAGATCCTAGAATGCTTTTTTTTTGGAATATACAGCTGAAGCTGAGCTGAAACTTCATCAGGTTAGCTGTTCAGTGTCCTTCATTAGATTTTGAACACTTTTGTTGCTTCAAACGAACAAACTGTACAAATTACAAATGATGGACTATACCTTTAACACCTTTATTCATCCGATTAGCTTCAACATGCTGTAATAGGTACCTGTGTATTTTGTGAAAAATGTGTGATGTCACGATGACGTCATTAAAAATGCAATTTTTAATAACACTGATAAGGGTATTAAAGTCCGATTGTCTTGAAACTTGGTGGGTAGGTAGATAGTGTTATTAGTATGTAAAATCTGAAGTGAAGTCATGATGACGTCATCACTTATTTTTTTATTAATTTATCAACTTTTTAACATTTTCTTCTAATACAAAAATTTGACAAAGTATTTTTTTAAAAGTATTTCTTTACACGTATTTTTTCTAAAATAATAATAATAAAAATAATAATAATATTAATAATATCTAATTCTTGTATAGCGCCAAATCCGTCAAAATTGACGCTCAAGGCGCTTCACAGAAATAAAAATAAATCAGTTAAAATTTAAGAACAAACTAAAATTAATACAAGAAAAATCTTAAAAATAAATATAAAAAAAAAAAATAATAATATGGTTTATAAAAGACAGCCAAAACTGTCAAGATAGACAATAAGTCAGTACAAACAGTAAAGCTGTTTGTCCATGCTTTATGGTTGAACCAACTTGAATAAAACTTGAATCAACTTTTTCCTCGCAGGTCTCCCTAAGTTGTAAGAAGTTAAAGTTTACATTTGTTGATGACTGCAGTACTGTCACTTAAAGGGAATATACATCATTTGCTTTTGCTGTAATTTTCAGAAATGGATGGAATTGGGGGGTTGGAAATATATAGCAAATATAGTTACACTGACTTTTTTGAGGTTTTGGGTTCGAAAATGCTATAAAAACCAAGAAAAACAATCATTTTCCTGTAGTCTGGTTCCCTGACTCCATTTAAGAAGAAACAGAGCAGTTTACATATATTGGGGAATTGTAAGGTCAGGGAACCAGTCTAGCTGGCTTGTACCCGTCCATAGGTGTGTAATCGATTGCAAACAAGTGCGATGGTCAACTGGGGCCAGTATTTGAAAAAAAGCCAGTTTTTTCCAACGCTGATCGGCCGATCAGCGTTGGAAATTGATACAAAAATACCACTTTTCTTGAAAATGACAGTATACGAGGTGCCATGATTTTACAGGATGCTTTACACTGTCATTCACTAACAGTCCAGCAAGGTATTTCAAAATGATTTGGTAGTTTTATTTTTTGATGTTTGCAAATGTTGTATTTTCCCTTTAATGATGACTTTTCAGATTTTTTTTATTTTATGGTAACACAGAACATTTTCATAGCAAATTACACGGTCTTAGCCCATACCTAGTGCCTCGTACCTTTCACATTTTATTGCATTTATTGTCAAAACTGTACAGTCAGCATTTGCCTGTGTACTACGGTTATATTTCAACTACATTTCCCGCAAATGCGACTGCAAAAAAATTCGAATTTCACAGACCAACGGGAAAATTCACCCTACAGCTGCCATGGCCCATAATTATTATTTTCATATGGTTCCAGTTTTTATCCCCCTGGCTGTAAGCCGGAGGGGGATATTGCCATAGCGTATTCCTTCTGTGTGTGTGTCTGTAGGTCTGTATGTATGTATGCGCGAGTTTGTCTTACGGTCACTATGTGGACATGTGAACAAAAGATGTCCACATAATGCAGGTTGTGTTGGCGTTCTGTGGACTAAGCCGCGTCCACATAACGTTTCACCCTCTCTGGAAAACAGGTTTAGAGGCATTTTTGGGTAAGGGTTATCTGTCGCAGAATGAAGAGAAACATTCAAGGAAATCAAAAAATAAATTTGGGGTTGAAAGAGTTTTCACAGTTTAAGTAAAATTATTTTTGTACTTAATTTTCTTAACTACACGAAAACAAAGGAATGTCCACATAGCGTATGTAAAACAAACATGGGTGTGTGTCAAAATGTAGGAATGCTGCGTAGGATGTGTTTTGAAGTGTTGCGCTACGGAGAGTGGCTGCCGAATTCTCACACTGTGCAGATGTTCAGTGAATCGGTCAGCGAGGCGTCGCTTTGTTTCTCTGATGTAGAGTAAACCCACGTAACCTTCCAGTTCGTGATTCATTGATACGTTGCTTCAAGAATCTCCAAATCAACCCTATGACAAAAGAGATCTTCAATTCATCGTCCACTCCGATGTGTGCCTTCAAGAAGGACCAATCCATCAGAGATCTCCTAGTCCATACATCCCTCCCAACTGACACTGCTAATGAGTTTGGCACTACCCCTTGTCATCGTTCACGCTGCAACACTTGCCGTTATGTTGACGCTTCATCTTGCATCAACGGACCACGTGGCCGGCAATACATCCATGGCAAGTACACCTGCACCACGACAAACTTGGTATATTGCATCACTCGCAAACGATGTAACAAACTCTACATCAAGAAACAAAGCGACGCATCGCCAACCGATTCACCGAACATCTGCGTAGTGTGAGAATTCGGCAGCCATCTCCGTAGCGCAACACTTCAACACACATCCTCACACTTGTGACAACATGCAGGTGTGCGTCGTAACTACGACAACAATTGACGCACAACGCAAAGAACGAGAGCAGCGTCTCATATTCGATCTGGGGACGCTCTCGCCTGGTGGTTTGAACGTGGAATTCTCCGCGTTCAAAACATGCAAGAACACCCTATGAAGATGGACGCCAGGTCCGAAAGCTGGTACAACAGCTAATCCAGTGAGCACTGATCTACATTAACTTTTTTTAACCCTTACTCTCTGAGGGTAGTTTACTGCATGTCAGTTGGTTATGCCAATGCCCTCCAGCTGCAGTATATTGGCAGATAAACTATCTTGACAGTGAAGGCTCCAATTGGCAGGAGTTGGAGGCCCTGGAGGGTGCCTGATACTGACCAGCTGGGGGCACTCACTTTGTTATCAGAGGACTCTCATTGTTCTCTGTGGCATGTATTGGAGTGCCTGTCCAGTTACCCTTGAAATGACATGGCAGATATTGGAGGGCCATGCAAAAAACATAGGAGATTTTCTTGAGGCACATATTGGCATGCGTTGGAGGGTCAAGTAGGGTAAGGGTTAATGTAGATCATTATTTTTTATGGGGGTGTGTCAGTGCGTATGTCCGTATGTCCGTCTGGGCAGCTTAGTTTCCGGATGAAAACATGACTTACAAATGTTGTTTGGGATTGTAACTTCGGTAGGGGGTTGCCCTGAGGAGAAGGCAAGTTGGGATTGGTTTTGAGGTCCAAAGGTCAAAGGTCTCCGTGGTGAGTTAAAGGTTAATGGTTTCCGGATGATAACTTGAGTTAGAAATCACATTTTGCTGTCTAACTTCGGTAGGGGGTTTCCCTTGGGTACAGGCAAGTTGGGATTGGTTTTGGGGTCAAAAAGTCAAAGGTCAAGGTCACTGTGGTGAGTCAAAGGTAAATGGTTTCAGGATGATAACTTGAGTTGGAAATGAGATTTTGGTGTCTAACTTAGGTAGGGGGTTGCCCTTGGGTACAGGCAAGTTGGGATTGGTTTTGGGGTCAAAAGGTCAAAGGTCATCACGTGATATCACGTGGCGTCATCCTAAATGTGCATATTTTAAGGCCCTACATCTACAGAACCAGAAGTCCAATCGGGTTCAAACTCGGTATTGCGGTTTCTGGAACGTGAAATAGACAAAAATTGCAGTGACATCACAATGACATCATCATGTGATTTTATATAAATTATTAAATTTTTAGAGATTTTACTCATTTCTCATCAGCGGAGCGTGGTAAATTCGAAATTCTTTTTGTAAGAGGTTTGTTAGATGGATACACATAATTTCGTAAAATGTGTGACGTCATACCGGTAAAAACCATGATTTTTTAATTCACATATAAGGGTTTGTCCATTCGTTATTAAACTTGGTGGGTAGGTAGGTATTGATAAAAGCATTCAAAGTTTGAAGTGACATCATCATAATGTCATCATCTGATTTTTTATTAATTTTCAAAATTTTTATATTTTCTTCTTATTACCAAAATTTACATAAAAAAAAGAATAATCCGATCGACTTCAAACCTGGCACACACTTAGACCACCGTCTGAAGATTCAGACAGAATCATGATGTCATAATGACGTTATTATGTGTCAACTGACATCATCTTATATGTGCATATTTTAATGCCCTATATCTACAGAGAGCCTGAAATCCGATAGGGTTCAAACTTGGTATGCAGGTATTTCGGGACGTGATATAGACAAAATTACAGTGACGTCATGATGATGTCATCATGTGATTTTTTTTATGAATTATTCAATTTTTGGACCTTTCATATCTCATCAACGAAACATGCTAAATTTGAAGTTCTTTTTGTAAAAGGTTTGTTAGGTCGTTGATAGCTACAGAAAATTTCAAGAAATATGTGACATCATCATGACGTCATCATCTGATTTTTTATTCATTATTAAAATTTTCATATTTTCTTCTTATTACCAAATATTACATAAAAACAATCCGATCGACTTCAAACCTGGCACACACTTAGACCACCGTCTGAAGATTCAGGCAGAATCATGATGTCATAATGACGTTATTATGTGTCAACTGACATCATCTTATATGTGCATATTTTAATGCCCTATATCTACAGAGAGCCTGAAATCCGATAGGGTTCAAACTTGGTATGCAGGTATTTCGGGACGTGATATAGACAAAATTGCAGTGACGTCATGATGATGTCATCATGTGATTTTTTTTTATGAATTATTCAATTTTTGGACCTTTCATATCTCATCAACGAAACATGCTAAATTTGAAGTTCTTTTTGTAAAAGGTTTGTTAGGTCGTTGATAGCTACAGAAAATTTCAAGAAATATGTGACATCATCATGACGTCATCATCTGATTTTTTATTCATTATTAAAATTTTCATATTTTCTTCTTATTACCAAATATTACATAAAAACAATCCGATTGACTTGAAACCTGGCACACACTTAGACCACCATCTTAAGATTCAGGCGGAATCACAATGTCATAATGATGTCATCATGTGTCACGTGACGTCATCCTAAATGTGCATATTTTAAGGCCGTATATCTACAGAGCCTGAAATCCTATCGGGTTCAAACTTAGTATGCAGGTTCTTTTAACTACATGTCTTCTCAACTAAATCCCCATGAATATTACTTCCCACAATCATGATTAGATTATCAGCTAGTGGCTTGATAAATTAAAAGTCAATCTTGAGATCATCTTGTTTATTCTCATTACAGTGAAGCCTTTCCTCACATGTGTAATTCTCCTATCTTGATTTAAACATGAGAACATTTCAACTACATGTAAATCCATTGTATGGTCTAATAATTCCATGCTGATGAAATACATTGTATCTTGTTTAGTTAATATCCTTGTTTTTTTTGTCCATGCAGGCAATAGAGAGATTACAAGTCAACCAAACAGTCAATGAGATATGTATTGGTGCCTTGGAAACTGTTCTACGTAAATTTCGCTCTGTAGGAGAGAAATATGCTGTCCATGCCATGCTAATGGTGGATGCTAAGCTACTCGCATTATATTCAAGGTATGCACTTTACGTTCTTAAGTTTAAAGTTGATATTTTCCTTATTGCTCTGTTTGTGCTGTTCAACAAATTCAATTTCATTTTTACCTTGCATTTGAGTTTTACGTGGTATTGCTCTCTCTTGTATTATGTAATCCTTTGAAGAAAGTGGTTCATTTCTTCATTCATAAAATACAAATTACAATGTAGTTCTAGCCCACGGCACATTAACCCCAATAAATCACCCCTTTATTAAAGTGACCCCTATGAAAGTGGAAAATCCACAATTTAGAGCAGAAACTTTACAAATGTATGAACGAACATGATGGATTCCCTCCTGAGAAGCTGAAACTGTGCATAATCTTCTATTTTCCACCCGATTCCAACCTTTACCCATCCACACGCACAGGCCTACACGTATAGTCGTGTTTTACTATACGCCTGAGGACAACCTATTGTGTTTCCCTTTGTCCCTGTACTTTAACACTTTCCCATAGACTAAGCACGTAAACATACGATCGAGGACAGTTTCGAACAAAAGCACCATCGTTCAAGGACTGAAAGGATCTTTTGTTCTCCCTTTGTGTGTCTGTCCTCGAGCGTAATAAAATACAGAAACATACATGCAAACGTGTGTTCGCCGTTGATCGAGGACGTCCTATTGTCCCTCTTTTGTTAAAAACATGATATTGAAAAATTTGCACATTTTCACTCAATATTGCCAATATTGATATGAAATGGAATGTTGTTTCACTCAATATTGCCAATGCAGTTACTGTACATTTTGTAATCTTAATATGATAATTGTGAATTTATGGAATGTCAATTCGGTCTAAAACTTGCCTTGATGGTTCAGGCTGGTCCCATAGGTATATAAAATACCAAATTTGGAAATTAATATTTTTGTCAAAAAATGTGACCAGAATGAGCAAAAAAAAAACAAACACCACATTTCTCCCAATTTTACAGCTCCACATCATGCCTAATCTGAAAGAAGACACGTTCGGCTTTCTAATGAGGTATGATGTAGGTGTGTGAGGTGTTGGGCAATTGACCAATGACCAAAATTGTACCTTCGTTTTGCTCATTAAAAAAACGATTCTGAGATAAATGCACATTTTCACTCAATATTGCCTATAGTTACTGTACATTTTGTAATCCTAAGATGGTTATTATGAATTTATGGAACGTCAATTTGGCCACAAACTTGCCTTGATGGTTGAGGCTGGTTCCACAGATATCAAAAATACCAAATATTTAATATCATATTTTTTAACCAAAAATGTGACTTTTAGACCCAAATGAGCCCCCCCCAAAAAAAAGTTATCCCAATTTTGAAGCTCCCCATCATGCCTAATCTGAAAGTAGACATATTAAGCTTTCTAATAATGTGTGATGTAGGTGTGAGTAGGGTGGGGCATTTACATGTACATGTATGTAGACCAAAATTTGGATTCTGCTGCTCGCCTATGAGCTACGCTATACCCCCGGCCCTTCTCTGAGTGCGGGGCAGCTCAAGGGGAATAGCGGCCACGTTTCAGTGGGCTCTAGTCACCCATGCCCTCCCTAAGCCTGTTTGATATGACAATATTTCAAGATATTTTAATTTAATTTTCATATCGGAAATCGTATCGATCTCTTAAAAAAATAAAGGCACATCGTGCAATTCGATATGTCGAAAAATATCGCGGTATTCTTTTGAAGTACCACTTTTGTAACCATTAGAGTCACCACTGGACTTTAAAGCTACAGTCCATCATTTGTAATTTGTGCATTTTGTTCGTTTGAAGCAACAAAAGAGTTCAAATTCTAATGAAGGATACTGAGCAACTAACCTGATGAAGTTTCAGCTAAGCTTCAGCTGTACATTCCGAGAAAAACAGCATTCTAAGATCTCAATTTTACTGAATCATGTTTTGAATTGTTTTGAATTGCAGCTATACACGACGTCGCGCACTGCTCCGACGAATTATAACAACTGCGCGCGCGTGTGCGTCGTTCCAATACTTGTGCGCGCTGCGCTGAATAACAAAACGAACTACTAATTTAAATTTTCCTACGGTGCTTCTTAAGAATCACCGTTGGAAATGCCTTCTTTCGTTGATTACTTCAAAATGACAGCTTCCCAGTAAGAATAATTTCACAGGGAGTTTAGTCCCCTTACTATCTTTCAACCAAGTTTGTTTTTCAACAATAATTACGCCAGTTACTTTTCGGATGGCTGCAAATGATGGACTATACCTTTAAATAGAGCCGCTACAGTGCTCCCATGAAAAACCGCAAACCACAAATTCACTGTTTCTGCATTGTACCGCAAGGTCTTACCTGTCAAGGGGCGGAACCAACTGACTAACGAACGTCACGTGTATTGGATTTTGCGTCTTCCACGTGGCAGTACAAACATGGAGCTATACAAACAACACAATCTCTGACATTTTGCAAAGAAAATACGGTGCCTGTTTTGTGACGGAAATGTTTCATACAAAACACTGCTTATTCAAAAACGATTCGATTGGAGTGATTTTTATGCCCCGCGGCGAAGCCGAAGGGGCATACTGTTTCCGCCTTGTCCTTCCGTGGGTGGGTGTGTGTGTGTGTGGGTGTGTGGGTGGGGGGGTGAGCTTGTCTTACATACGCAGTGTGGACTTCCGAACAAAAGACGTCCACATAATGTAGGTAGCAGCGACGAAGTGTGGACTTGCCCACGTCCACACAGTGTTTCCCCATTTCTGGAAAACAGGTTTAGAGGCATTTTTGGGTTAGGTTTATCTGTAGCAGAATGAAGAGAAACACTAAAGGGAATCATTGAAAAAAAATTGGGTTGTAAGAGTTTTCACAGTTTGAGAAAAATGAGTTTTTCCACTGGTGTTCCTTAACTACACGAAAAGAAAGGAAAGTCCACACTAGGTATGTGAAACAAGTCTGGGTGGGTGGGTGTGTGTGTGTGTCCGGATAAATCTTGTCAGCGCGATAACTTGAGAAATACTTAACATATGAACTTCAAATTTGGTTTGTGGATTGTTCTTGGTAATCCTAAGAAGCCTTTTGCATTTGGGGACAAAAGGCCAAAGGTCAAGTTCACAGTGGCTAAAACAATAGAAATCTTGTCAGCGCGATAACTTGAGAAATAATTAACATATGAACTTCAAATTTGGTTTGTGGATTGTTCTTGGTAATCCTAAGAAGCCTTTTGCATTTGGGGCCAAAAGGCCAAAGGTCAAGTTCACAGTGGCTAAAACAATAATAATCTTGTCAGCACGATAACTTGAGAAATACTTTACATGTGAACTTCAAATTTGGTTTGTGGATTGTTTTTGGCAATCCTAAGAAGCCTTTTGCATTTGGGGCCAAAAGGCCAAAGGTCAAGTTCACAGTGGCTAAAACAATAGAAATCTTGTCAGCGTGATAACTTGAGAAATACTTTACATGTGAACTTCAAATTTGGTTTGTGGATTGCTCTTGGCAATCCTAAGAAGCCTATTGCATTTGGGGCCAAAAGGTCAAGGGTCAAGTTCACAGTGGCTAAAACAATAGAAATCTTGTCAGCGCGATAACTTGAGAAATACTTAACATATGAACTTCAAATTTGGTTTGTGGATTGTTCTTGGTAATCCTAAGAAGCCTATTGAATTTGGGGCCAAAAGGTCAATGGTCAAGTTCACAGTGGCTAAAACAATAGAAATCATGTATTTATTCTGAGATTATAGGGATTAGGGATTAATTGATATAAAACCTACAGAAGACACTAATGCTGTCAATGAATGTTCCATGTGACCAAGGTACATGTAAGTTGATGTTAAAAGAGTGGTGTTATGTCATGGGAACTGTCACGGTTGTGGGGCATTTGTGTTTGTAAACACACCTGACTTGTTTAGACATGTTTTTCCATAAAGAAGTTCGTAAGTTCAGCAAGGCAGAATAGAGGCATTTCACCGTGGATACCGCACAGGTACTAGTCTCTGAAAGAAACAGTTGAACGAGAAGTTGTACAGACACAACACCGCAAATAATTGTAGATCATGACGTTGAGAAGTGAACATGTTTTATTTCGGCGCGCGGTCAGGGGAGCCCTCGCCGGGCCTGCAAATTTTCTTTTCCCAGGCGGCGCAGCCTCATCGGGCAGACCCAAACGACATCCGCATACATGGTTGTTAAGTGCCCTCTACGATACTGTTATGATACGTACACATTATATAATTGTTTGTTTTCCCGCGATGTTGCGAGTAGTGCGACAGCTCGGTCGATCCTGAATTGTGATTTTGCACCGTGAGGTTGCGGGTTCCAATCCGTGGTTTTGCACCCAATTTTTTTTGTATTTTCTAACCTGAGGTTTCGGAGGATTTTTTCAAAAAGGGAAATAGAGTCCGAATTCTATGTATTTATATATTTTAGATTTTCTTGTCATGTTTTTAGAAAAGTAAAGTCCAAAACTCCATAGCGTTTATGAGGATGTCGTTTGGGAGAAAAAAACTAGATCAAATTTTCCTGCACGTATTTTCCTGACTCGTTCCATCTCTTCCGTGGTTGTGCCCGGGCACTTCATCATCATCATCATCATGTCGGGATCGCCTGGGTTGTGACGACATCACGAGCCAGTCCCCGAGTCCTCTTCTTCCAGCTGTCTCGATCTACCATGCAGGTGCGCAGCTCCCCTGCAGATGTGAGATCAGTGTCCACAAAGGTCAGACTTCTTCTCCCTCTTAAGGCAGTGCCCTGGGTGGGCTCCCACAGTATGGTTGGGTGTGCAGCAAGCTCCGGGTGGCGGACGCAGTGGCCAGCAAGATTAAGACGACGCTCTCTGATCTTGTGAGTCACTCTCTGCATGCCGTTGTAGAGGTCATCATTCCTCATACAATCCTGCCACGATACGTTGAGGGCTATACGTAGCATGCAAGTGTAGCATCCATCCAGTGACTTCTCCTCCTTGGTTGTGAGGGTCCACGTCTCTGCACCATAGAGTAGGACGGACTCAATCGTGGAGATGAAGAGCGATCTTTTGAGCTTTGTACTGATGGCTGACATCCATACCTTTTTCATGCTGTGAAGTGCTGACCACGCCAATCCTCGTCTGGTCTTGATGTCTTTTCCGCTTGATTCGACATACGCTCCAAGATATTTGAAATCGGACACGATCTTCAGCAGCGTGCCGTCTCTGGTGTGGACGATAGCGTCAGCCGTGTTGTATGCCAGCACTTTGGTCTTCCCAGTGTTGAGATGTAATCCCATCTTCAAACATTCTTCCTCCACTGAGAGGAGAAGGGTACGAGCCTGTTCCACAGTGTTTGAGATCAGTACTATGTCATCGGCGAAGTCCAGATCGGTGACTGTTACTGGAGGCACTCGCCGGCTCTTGCTTAGTGCCAAAACTGTGCCAAACTTATGAAATCAGTTAATATTTTCAGCAACAAAAACGTCGAAAACCAACTGTTCAATCGTGACTTTCGTTCAAAAAATTCATCACTAGAAATTGGATGGATCCATTAATTTTTATAAAGGGGTGCTTCACCCTCTTTTTGGAGTGAACATCGTTTTTCAAATAAATTCTTTAGAAAAAAAATAAGTTTGTGAGTTTGTAACGATGAAGAACTTATTCTGAACAAGGAAATATTTCGGACTCCATAAAAAAAGTGTTATTTGTAATTTTGAAAAGGTGGAAATACTGGTAAATTGTTTTCAAGGAAGCACACCCTAGACCACAAATGGTGTGGGCTGTACATAAATTATCAAGACTGGCCATCAAAAGTGATTAAAACTTGCCTCACCTAATTACAAATATATTTGAGGTGGGTGATTCCACTATATGCTTAACGTACATCACGGCCGCTAGCGCCGCAAACATTCAGTCTGGCCGGCCGCACATCGCACCGTGCACACGGCGCAGTATCAGTGTGCATTACTGCACTGTGTACGGCCCATCCCACGTGGCTGAAAATTCTGCACTACTGCAGAAACACGCTACGATGTTTATCCATAGGTTCAAGTTTTGCAATCTCGTCATTTCAATGGAAAATACATACACAGAAAATGAAGATCACGTTCTGTGAATTAATTTGCAGAAATTCTCTTTCTCCATCGATGTTTGTTTGGTATTTTTACGATCCAACTTCGGCCGATTTGCACTATCATCATGCACGGAAAATGATGTATGTGATATGTACGGGCAGTAGTCACTGGTTCTGGTCCTTCATCATAGCATTGATTCTGTTAGCACGCAAAGGGTACCAGTGTACCATACTGTATGTGCTGCTACATGGTGCTGGCGGTCATCATCGTGTGCATTTTGATCACACATGCATCAGAAAAACAGGATTTTTGTCAAGATTTGGCATGTCAAGATGAAATATTGGTGTATGTTATGATTATATTGTGCATTTTAATGGCGTGTATAATAACTATATTGTGCGTATTGGGGGCCGAAAAATGTGATCAGCATGTTTGTCGGTGTATCAGGCCGCAATTCCAGTGTATCGGGCCAATACGCATGTTTGTACGTGGGGAGAACCCTGATGTCAGGCCAGAGCATTGGGAATTTCGCGGTTTCTAACAAAGATTCCAGCTGCAAATTCATGGTGGCCTCATTCAGCCTTACCGCTTCACTCCTGGCCTCTGCTCACATAGTAAAGACAATTGGGCTGTGCTGCTGAAATGGAGAGTGATGACATTCACCTATTTTCCTTGTACAGGCACAGTCATCACTACATCCAGTGTAGGTCATGCCCTGACTTGTGCAGCGCCTCCAGTGATGGCTCAACGTTGCAAACCTCATAGAGGTGTGCCTCTCACAGCTCGCAGCCTTCACTAATTGTCATGGCAGACATGTTACCCTGACAGATGACTACCCACCACTCGCATCTAGTGGTGGATTGGTGAGGCCCTGTGTGAGCATCTTCAAGTTCCATTAAGTTACTGGAGATGCTGGCAGTCTTGGAGAACTTCCGATGTTATTTTCTAAAATAAGTGATGTGCCAGATGATCCTTGTTCGATGTGACATTGACACGGTTGCGGCTTACATGGATGACCGGGTGGGCGCGCAGCCTGCTCAACTGTGTACTCTCACAAGAAATCCCCTGTTGGTATTTGCACCACATTTTCGTGCTTTTGACTATCCACGTCCCAAACAAGGAGAATGTCGCTTCTAACGTCCTCCTTAGAGGTGGTGGATCCTCTCAACAGTTGTAGCTGCTAAGCAACTAACCATGTCTGCTTGTTTTCACTACTGTGCGAGGGTTCCTGACCCCTGCACGTGGCAGACGAATACACTGGTAATGGAGAACGGACGTGCTGCTTGTTTACACCTTACCGTCGTTTCCTCTTATCCTTCGGGTACTGAATCAACTGGTGCAGAAGGATGACAAGGTCCTCCTCTTTACTCCATGTTGGTCCCATTGATTGGTCTCCCAGGGCTATAACCATTCCCTTGGTTCACCAGTCAGTGGTACTTCCGGGGATAACAATATTCTGTTCCAACGAAGCTTGGGTTTCCTTCACCCGGCTCCGCAGGAATTTGTCCTGATGTGCCGGGTGCTGTCATGCAATCCCTGTTCACATCAGACCTTTCTCAAACAAGCTACGGCTTTTTACAGCCTGCACTTGACAGTGGATTACTTTATGTAAGATAGTCGTACTCCCATGTCAGTTAATTAAGGTGGTGTTTGTTTCAGCACCCCTGAAGTGCAGGACCTCTTCAACGCCTTTCTTATCCAAAAAATGCTATCAAGATCTTTAAACATGTAGTTCTTTAAACCAGTTGACAATTTCACATGTTTCAGTTGTACCTAAGGTTGCCTTTTTGTTAGCAGCTGTTACTTCTAGACGTACATGTAGTAAAGAACTGCTTTCTGTATACTGTAATAAAGACGGACCACATCTGGTGTGGACTGAGTGTGCCCATCCAATTCCTATGGAAGGACTTTGAACCAAGACTGTTAGAGTGCTCTTTGTCTCCAAACGTCTTTCTTCCAGGCATCAAATCATTCTTGTCTGTTTCAGACAGAGAATTTTGGTGCCGATTATGACTTTGACGTCGTACATTAGCTGCACAGGGATGCTTTGAATCAGTCACTTGCAGTTACATTTACATGTATTTGTCTCAACAACCCAGCCATACCAGCAGGCTTCTCGCGACACATGTTTGTCGTGACAACCCTGCCATACCAACAGGCTTCTCACGACATGTTTTGTCATGACGACACTGCCATACCGGCAGGCCTTTCACAACATGTTCTTATCACAATGACCCCAGCTTACCTGCAGGCTTTTCATGACAAGATTGCCTGAAGGTTGTTTATGGTCATTATTATTCTTTATTGAATTCAGTACATATAATAGTGTCTATATGTCCTATGTCACAATCATCACACGCGATGCCCAATATAGGGGATCGCGTCTCGGTCAGCATGTTCATTATCAATGTCCTTATCATGCAGACCTTTTGGGCTGCCTTGTCCACCCACATGTGGATCGATGGGGCCCATCTGGGGCTTACGTGTCGAGTTACGTGCCCCTGTGAAAGCACAATAGCATCTTGCATGACCGCCTTGATGGTGCTAGTCTATACATAAGTAGATTGCTCTACAGGTAAGTTGAGTGAAGTAGACCCCCCCCCCCCCCACACACACACAGAAGTGTGGTTGGGTTCTACGAACGAATACTTACCTGTAGACAGCAACAGCCCCCCATGAAACCTTGTCGCCCCCAGTCGCCCCCCCCCCCCTCTGAGATTTTGAGTTTCTAAAAAAATTATCATTGATCTACATGACGCCCCCCATGAAATGTTCCAGCCCCCCCAGCGCCCCCCCCCCCCCCCCCCCACTGAAAAATTCCTGGCTACGCCACTGCCTGTAGAGCATCCCCCTCCTAGCCCACTCTTCTCAATGCCATGAGTATTCCAACACAACGCTCGAGTAAAGAAGACGCCCACGAGGCACGTACATGTATGCAGTGGGGTATTATGGGTAGGAAACCAGAGGGTGCTATTGTATAAAACTCTTAGTGGGAAATACCTGCTGGTCCAGGGAATATGCATACGTAGATTGCTCTACAGGTATTTGTTCATAGACCCCAACCACACTTCTGTGAGGGGGGGGGGGGGATACTCAATGTCAATGTATGGCACACATTTACAGCAGGTGGTCTATGCCTCTGCCAAGATTAAAGGCAATCGGCTGTGTAATAAAAGGGAATTATTTAAATTTCTTGTTAATTTGACATGATATTGACATTGATTTTGTTTTGTAAGTCGTAAGGCATCTGAGTTGCAATCATCAGATATCCTGATAACTACACTACTAGCAACAAGCTTCTGTCACACCAAGGAGAGATTACAGAACTTACTGACTCAAAGCATGCATCAGTACGAATGGCCAGAAAACAGCACACACAACCAGCACCTTTCTAGCAACAGTGATGAGTATTTGAGTGCCGGAGATGGAGGATCAGATGATGGGGTAACTATTCTATATTTTAGGGAACAGAAATGTACCAGATTTCAAGTAATATCAAGGTCACAGCCAAGAATTTCACTTAAACTCACTGCCCAGTCCGAGGCTGCCGGATATACATGTAGTTTATTTCTTCAGTTTTGCAGGCCCATAAATAAGCTACCATAGACTCCAGTGATAATTATGCCCACTTCAAAAATTAGGAAAAACACTCACTAGTATTTGAGGTATTCCACCAAATTAAAGCTCTTTTATCATCTTTTATTTGTTTGATTTTTCAATTTTTTGGGGGGTTAATCAATGACATTGTCTATTGCTCCTACATACTTTGACCATGACCGATTTCAACCAAACTTTGTCCAAAGTATCAGTAGCCCAGACCCAACATATCACATGACCAAACTGGGGTCAAATGTCTTCATGGGGTCAAGGGCAAAATAACATCGGATTCAAATGACAAAAGTAGCACTGTTAACATGTTGGCCTAGGTCAAACATTAAAAAATGTCCATCATGGTGACCTCTTCGTTTGTTCTACAGATGGGGTCAAAGGTCAAAATCGGTCAAATTTCAGAAAAAGTTCAAATGACAAAAATAGCACCATCAACAAGTTGGCCTTAATCAAACATGAAGAAATGGTGACCTCTTCATCTGACCTATAGCTAAAGGGTCAAAGGTCAAAATAAGGTGAACATGCATTCGTGGCCCGCAGTTTTTGAGATCTGATCGAGCTTGTTGTGCAAACCCTCAAGTTCGTTGCCTGCAAAATGATCTAATAGCAGAAAAATTTAGGTAAAACAAAACGTGATTTGACCAGTGTAGGCAATTTGGGTCCATTGACAGGCCTGCACCTTTAAATATATCTTAAATGTTGCGATATTCTCCAGACCACTTTATAAGGCAAGTGAAGGATCCATAAGTCAGGTTACAAGTAAACATTTGAGGGGAAAAAATGAGGTTGGTCACTTGCCTGAAATCTGCAGCTTGTATGTGCCTTGCCTGCCTGCACATATGCACTAAAGTTTATATCTGATTCTCCACCCTACAATTGCAGTCAAACATACCCTCTTATGTTTTGTACTTTTGTTCATGGGAGAGGGGGAGGATTGTCACATGTCCTCCTCAACTCCCAGTACCCTGCAACCCAAAGTTTGCCTTAACACGCAAGAGAAGTACATTTCAACATTTTGATAAAGACCTCCCCCACTTAATCTGTAGACCTTTAGCTGCCATAATTTCATAGGGTTTAACCTCCGCTAAACAAACGCAAGTAAAAAAACAGCAGGCTAGTCAAAACCATTCTCTAAGTAGCCTGGGGAGTCAAAATTATTAGGCACATAAAAGCATAAAAAGGTACAGGATACAGACTGGCATACAGACAGGATGCAACTGGCATGAATGCATTGGGATACAGACAGTACTGCACGTACAGTGCTCTTTAAAAAAACCCAGTGAATCGGGTCAAATATTATATCATAGAAATGTCACGAAAATATCGCTTGAGAAAGGAGAAAGATTTCTGTGACTTAATTCACATAGCCTAACTTGATCTCTCTTTTCTCTGTATGCATTTTCTGCTTTTCTGTATTTATTTATTTTATTAGTCTTAATGCTGGTACATGCGCCGATAACATGTGGCCGCGCTGGTGTTCATGACAGTCTATGTGCGCTGAGGATCGGTACTGTCCTCCTCAGACAGTATTAGGTAGTTTCTTTTCGTGACTTTTACATTTTTTCCCCCAAAGTTTGTTTTTCTTTTTGACGGTCCAGTTTTGATAGTTTTTGTGTCACAAATTGAAATGGGACCGAAAAATTATTTGGGCAATAAAGGTTTGTTAATAAATAATTATTTATTTGATTTATTAATAACGTCAATCATTTTGTGCCTCTTTTAATCCGTTTTTATTATAACTGTTTGTTGGAAAAGCTAACAAGATTGCCTCAGGATAAAGTTTGATGTGTACATTATTGTTTATGACATGGTGCAAAAAATAAAAATTATATTCCAGCCTCGTGAAAAGGCCCAAGGGCCAGATTAGAGTCCAGTTCTCTAAACTGGCTAGATAGTGAAAAAAATATAAGGGCATTACCTCCAATGATAATTACACCCACATCCAAAATGAGGAAAAATGCTTAAAACTCTCCAAGGTGTTTGAGAATAAGGCTTATTTCATCATCTTTTATTTCAGGCCTCGATCTTGGGCAAAAAAGGGGCAGGCCACTTTGGCCTTGCCCCCATCAAAATTCCACAGGGCACCAAGGCCAACTCAAGGGAGCACCAAGGCCAATCATTTCAAAACCTTTAATTTACATTTATTTACAGCCAGTGTATACGCGCCTATTTCCTAGGTCACACAAACAATCAAGAGTATTCAGTTCTTGTACAAATGTACATCATGTCCAAAGAGCTTCGTTTCCGATTTCGCTTTATCGCTTGTAGCTTTTAATGTTCTGATCAAATTTTTAAATAAATCGCTTGCTTCGTAATATCATACAGTTAAAATAATACAGTAGATGTTTCTGTAAGATAACATTGACTAATGTTGATCTGGAATCTTCAAAATTAGACACCCAAATAGCACTGTTAGCAGGCAGAGCTGAATGAAGACTGAGTTTTGGAAAATCTCAGTATTGGTCGTCAAATTCAAAATTGTACATGACGCAGCAAAAAGTTCGCCCATACGATCCGACTATATTTGACACACAAAATCGTCGTTGAATTTCAAGTTTTGTCTAAATGAAAGCAATGAATATGAATTATCAAATCAATTAAAATAAAATTAATCAGCAATTAGCAGTTAATTCAAACTATATTATATACTCAGAAATACTCGGGCGCTATCCTATTGTCGACAAAACGACTTCGGCAAACTTCGGAAATTTTCGGAAAAAGGAGGAATTCCTCCAGTTTTAGTCACGTGATGTAAATTGTAATACAATGTATTACCGGAGGCTACCAGACCTAAGATTCATCAGGAATCTTTTGGTCTGGGAACCAGACTAGCTTATCGAGCCACATTCGGAGTCGCCTCAACCTCCTCCTCATGGGTTTCGAACTCGCAGTTGCATTTTGTCCAAACATTGCCTTGCGCGATACCCATTGAGACAAGGTTGAGACGGCTCCAAATGCGGCTCAATAAGCACAGACCTGCCAACCTTTGGGATCGAAAAACTGTATTCTGAATCTTCAAAAGTTGTATTTTTCATTACAAAACTGTATTTTTCAAAAATATGCATAGACGGGCTATACGAACAAATAAATGTGGCTGCAATGCTCCATTTTTAATACATCTTAATTAAAGTTATAAAAACAATGACCAGTGGTCTCCCTGTGGGTGGTAAACCCAAGCAAATAATTTGCATGAATAAGGATATTAATCATATACCTTATTCATAAACAAAATGCTTTAAAAAACTATTCAATGCAAGTCTACTTAAACATAAACTAAAGACTAGACTTCCTCATGTTTGAAATAAATAAACCTTTAATGCAGGTGAAACATTCATTTGGCCATGTTCAGACACCGTGTTAGCTAAAACGGTAAAAGTTAGAATGGTCGCTCGCCACGGGAGGTCCGTCGTAAAAAATAAAACTACCGAGCGTCCAGACATCATATTAAGTATAACAAGTTCAACTCAAAGCAGTTTATCTCAGTTTCTAAGGTCACGTACAACATCCGTCTCAGCAAAAACCGTGCACTAAAAAGAGCCTTCACTCTTCCATTTTGACAGTTCGCTACACGTGGTCTGAGCCTCTCACCGTGTGATGCGTGTTGCCATGCCGTGTTTGACATCGCAGCCCCGGCCGGTCATGTAGCGTGGCACGCGGTAAACATGACGACAGTCACTAGTCCACCGCGGCGATTTCCCCATTTTTTTAAGTATCGTATCGGCCTTGCACCATTTGTGTTTACATTTTGGGGGTTATTTTCTGTACCTTTCGTGGTGCAGAAAGACATAAAAAATGTTCTAAAAAGTTGATTGAAAACAAACACGTCATTGAACAGATTTCACTGCACTCATCAACTTGACAACTTGCCCGCACAATATGTCAGTCACGTGAAAATGCACGTGATATTAACGTTGCAATATTGACCAATCAACGCCAAGGTTTTCCTGGTAGTTGAATATAATATAGTTGAATAGTTAGCGGTTGTTGCACTGGCATATGTGCATAATGTACATCATACAGTGGGAATCGCAAAACCAGATTCAGTTCGTGCATGCTGTACATCGTTTGCTTGGCTGCTTGCAATTTACGTTGTTAACCATAAAAAGACGTGTATTATTTTCCCTGCGACTAGACGTTTGTTGAATGGTGTTTGTATGTACAGATCCTCTACACAATATCCTTGATGTATGATTGTCATGACGGGACATGCAGAGGTAAAATACAAACATGACAAAAGGGCACACTGGCCAAGTTGGCCGCGACATGTGTATTTTTTTAAGGGGCATTGCGGCCAAGTTGGAAGGGCATGCGGCCATTGGCCGTGGTGGACGCGGTAAAGATCGAGGCCTGTTATTTTCTACTCATTTTTTTTTGGGGGGGGGGGGGTTGGTTTAACCAATGATTTTTGTGAGAAATTTTCATTCAAAGATGGTCACCTCAAATGTACCATATTCCGTTGCTATTTTGAAAAATGATGTTTATGCTTTGTGGCAAAATAGCACAAATTAAGGGCCCAATTACATCTCGAATTTCACAGAAGCACCAACTCTTAGTCCTGTTCATGGCTTTCACCCTTCTTCTTATTAAACCCTCAAGTTCATGGCCCACAAAATGCTTTTATAGTAAAAAAAAAGTTTAGGGCATGCAAATTATGATTTGACCAGCTCAGGCAATTTCGGACCTATTTAAGGATGTGCACCTTTTGGCACATTTGATCCATCTTGTTTAACTGATTGCATATCAATTCATGTAAATGCAGCGATTTTAAAATGAGAGTCTGAAAATTATGAGTATTGTGGTGAAGTAACAAAATAATATTTTACCGGTAGATATGATTTCATTGCGTGGTTCAACTGCTTTCGGTTAATACCTTAAGTATTTTGTGCAGTAATGAAGGACCGAGTTCCATTAGTTGCACAGCAAAACTAACACCTTCTTTTGCCAAGTGTGGCTGATTGTTGAGATAAGCTACAAGAAAAAAATCACTACCTCTTCAGAATCCATGATGCTTAATTGTTCAAAAAGGTTTTTTAAATTTTGATCATCACCTAAAGTAATCTGATGCTGTCATGTATCAACCTAACTTGAAAATTGAAGTTTTGCTGTCCTCGTGGAATAAAGGGGAAACCACTCTTAATAATGCAACTATAAACCAATTCAATTTCATAAATTTACCATACTACATGTAAAGCCCTCTTCACACAATGCCAAAAAAATCGCAATGATTGAGAGATTTTCGCAGTGATTGAGAAATATTACAAAATGGCCATCTAGTGAAGGGAAACCAATACTTGAGAGAGACCAGCTTTCCTTGTGAATTTCTCTCAATCATTGAGACATATTGGTGGAGGTCCCGACCTGCGACAAACTTACGCTAGCAGAAGTTTTCTCACGGAATGCATGCTAAACCTTCGTGTACAACCGACCCTTGTCAATCGAACAACGTCCCTTGCGAACTGCTGTCCAGTGCGCATGTGTAGTGATACCTCCGCACGTGAATGACCTGTGTACATGTGTACGTGTGCAAATAAAGATGGCGAACTTCAATATGCGAGCGATCGTGTATCTACGGGCCCGGTTCCAAAATGTACTTTTGAAAACTAGTTGGGACATTAAGAACATACATGTATGCCATAGATAAAGGGAGAAGGTTTTTAAATTTTGAGGGCTATTTGGGGATAAAATGAAGATGACAATGACAAAATGCACCTCGAAAATAAAGATGGGAATCACTGCGCAATGTACGTGAGCACGCAAGTCGTGCTGCACGGCACCAACCGCCCCGTAAACCGCGTAGGAAAATCTTCATTTCTACCCCCAAAAAATGTTCAAAAATTCCTAAAAACAGTGTCATTACATTGAGAGAAGTTTGCTTTAGGTTGGCAATGTCATTTTTTAGGAATAAAAAAACATTCTTGATTCTACTGATTGAAACAAAACAAGGACTCTAGGAACGCCGAGTATGCGTAAGTTGCTATTCTTGATACATTTCTTGAGCTCACTACATCACCACAAACGAAAGAGAGAGCTGGAAATTCTGTGTTTCTACGGTTGGTTATTTTGCAACTGATAAATTCGGGCTACTGCACTAGTACCAGTTATCATTGCAAGTTCCACAGTGTAACGGCAACCAACAAATTTCGCAGTGTTCTCTCAAAGATCGATCTCGGCTTTGCCCTCATTTTCTTGTGAAGCCTTGCGAATGTAGTGGAACGGGTAATGATAAGATAAACAATCGGCGCTCGTAAAATGAGTCTCAAACATTGTGAGTTTTTTCGTTGTCGTGTGAAGAGGGCTTAAGTCAACTCATTTGCATTCCCCTTTACAATTTATATTAAATGAATAAATGCCCCCCAACAAAAAAAGGATGCATATGGATTTTATTGTTCAGAACTGAGCATGTTTAGTGCATTCTTTGTAGATTAATAGCTTTTTTTTTTTTCATTCTTTTGATTGACAGTCTTCTTATTATAGTACTAATAATGACTCGGATAATGGCACCAGTGAGATGGATACAGTACTCAGAACAGAGGTCAAAGCTTGTCCTGCTAAATCCAGACTCTTGGCAAACACAGAAGACAAGGGAGCAGCAGGAGGAGGCACTTCATCTGACTCACTGAGTGATTGTGAAGCAGAATTTAGCAAGGAGGCATTCTTCACTCCTCCAGTCAGTGCATCACCTAGTAAACCAAGAAGCAAGTCACTCAGAGTACAGGTACTATTATTCTTATCAGGTTTTTATTTACATATCAACCTATATGCTATTGTTTACTCTCAAATCCCCCTTACTTCCATGTTGTAAACAAAGTGTGACCTACATGTACAAAAGTGCCTTTTGAACTCTTTATCGTCGGCTGTAGCTGCTTGAATGCTTTCTTTTTAGTTTGCAGTCTTTATGATTTCTTTTCCCAAAAACAAGATGAGAATGAGATCCTGAGTATGAAGATGAGTTATGAAGGCAAATAACAAAATTGCTCAGTACAAATATATTGAATTAATTGTAAGGATATACACAACCACCAATACCTTTGAATAAAAAGAGAAATAAAAGTATGACATTGTATGAATACATTCATACGAGATATGAGAAGTCTACCTCACTTATCATAACTGTAGAGCCACTACTATTGCATGTGTCCCTAGGGGGCACAGTTCCTTCGCTAAGAGTTCCACTAATAGCCTACCCACAATGCCCTGCAGTATATGTGCCAGTTCCAACTCTTTTCTCATTGTTATTAACGGCATTTAGAGGTGGATGTGATATTTTTCTGTTTGGTTTCCAGTAAATATCTGTGCTTCTGGCATTTGTCTAAGAGTTTTCCAGTACAGAATAAAGTAGAGTATCTACAGTCTTCTTGTGTCTACTTCAGTGTCTTTCATGAGACAAAATAAAGGTGATAAGAAAACATTTTCTCAGAGTTTTGTGACCTGTAGCGTGGACTCAGCACCCTCCACAGGGCAACCAGCTCCCTCAATGGGTGAGTCCAGGGAGACGTTCTCCTCTCAGATAATCCAGACTGCGGACCTGCTAGGGACGTTCTCCCCCAAAATGCAGCAAATATTGGCATCCCCAGAAGCAGGGCAGCGGGCCAGAATGGTGTGTTGAACATTGATAAATATGAACTTTCTTCATCTACCTTCACATTCCAGTGTCAATTTTTTGCACCCAGCACAGTGAACACTTTGAGGTTGTTCAACTGTGGTGCTGCGGTTCGATTTTTTTTTCTCCGAACTTCGGGGTTCGGTTCGGCTTCGGAAGTGCATACATAATATACATGTCCATACAGTGTATTAGGTTACAATGCAAAGCATACAAAGGCCGTTCCCCTGTTCGAACAAACACGTGTGTACCGCGCACATCTGACAGAAATAGGCACTGCAATTTCCACCTGCTATTCAACACAATTGAAGGATTAATCTTATTTTTGTTATGTAAACAAAAGTCTGTTATAATTTGATTTGATGACGTTGAGAAATGAACATCATAAATTGCTACCGTGTTACCTATTGCAGCCCTATCCGGCCTGGCAACTATGATCAAATTGGCAATCGACGTAGGGCCTGACTTCCGACTTAAGGAAACAAATTCCACTTTAAAATTATTAGACAAACCTAACTAGTTGGTTCTCAATACACAGTATGTCAGAGATAGAGGGCAGGGTTCTGATTTTTTTTAGGGAAATTTGGGGGTAAAATGATGATGACAGTGCGGCAACACAACACGCAACCCGAAAATAAAGATGGTGATCACCGCGTGATGTACCATGAGCACGCCCGGCGTGCTGAATCGCAAGGTACAAACGGCGCAGGAAAATCGTGATTTCTACCTCAAGAAACTGTTAAAAATTGCAAAACAAGAGTCATTAGAATTGAGAAGTCTGCTTTTGATTATAAAGGTGATTTTTTTTAGCAATAAAAAACATTTTTGACTTTAATTTGATCAAAACAAAACAGGGGCCCTACGCTACACGATCGCCATAAAAATTTTCCACACGTGCTGACAGGTTTTTCCGACGAGTTCCGTCCCGTCCGAGCATGCCCTAATGAGCACTAAAAACTTGTCTCGTGGCAATAATTGCTGAACAGTTTTGTTCTAAGAACAAACTGGTCCTTTTACTGTGCCAAACTTATGAAATCATAATTATTTTTTAGCAACAAGCTGATAAGTAGCTACCGTAAAAAAAATAATAACTTTTTGATTCGCTACTCTATGAATATTCATATTGTGGATGGATCCATTAATTTTGTAAAGGGGTGTGTCACCCTCTTTTGGGAGATTACATCATGTTTCGTATTCATTCTTAACGAAAAAAAAATATATTGCGAAAAGTACAAACTTCTTCTGAACATGGGAAAGGTTTCAGACTCCATCAAAAGTATTTTTTTAAATTCTGATACGGTGAAAAAAACCTGAAATGCTGGTGGAATTTCACTGAGGAAAGCACACCCTTCACCGCAATTGGTTTGGTTCAACCATACTACGTCACGCTGGAACATGGCCCAGCAGGGCGTGAGATACTGGATACTGACCACGCTGGATGAATGCAAAGAGCACGCTTTTCATTGAGAAAATCGCAAGGCGCGTTAGATTTTTTTCAAATCGTATTGGCCTGATATCCTATTGTATGCCTTGCTTGAACACTGCAAATAATGAAGATGAATGCAGTGACTTGTCAACAGGGTAAATTCAATCATCCGTGCATTTTAATTTTGCCCTTTCATTGCAAGCATTAGCATATATGTAGCGCTGTCAACAAATACTTGCTGAACTTTCCGAACAGACATTTGGGTTCGGTTTGGTTTGGGTTCGGTTCGGAAGGCCAAGTTAGGCTATTTTTAGTTCGGTTCGGCGGTTCAGCTGCAGCACTAAACTAACTGTGGTGGCTATGAAGAATAAAGAATTTACATTACTGACAGACAAGTTCAGAACAAGTGGAAAAAGTACAAAACCCATTCTTCAATGTCAAAATATTAAGAGAGTCTGATTGAGTAATTACTCCTCGTATTAGGACTTGAAAGTTCTGAAACGAAATGTTGTTTCATTCAGTTTAACAGGACGAAACTTATATCATTTGCCCTGACATTTTCTTCATTGTCTTCATCCGACAGATCCCCCTATAAAATATCCAAATTATTCATTATTTCCTGAAGCACATCAGCTACAGAGAGTCTACCTTTGTAATTAGCACTTGAATTAGCACCTCCTATTGAAAACTGGAATTGGGAAAATCCATAGTTTTGAGCAGAAACTTGACAGATGTATAAACGAACACGATGGATTTATGATTGTATAACATTGCTGTGAATCTTACAAATGATCAGTGTGCCCTCAATGTATTTTCGAGAAAAAAAAGGGGTTCATTATTTGAACATATTTTGAAGTCCTATATCTACAGAACTGTAAGTCCGATTGGGTTGAAACTCAGTATGTTAATAGACCGGGATGTGTTATAGGTAAAAATTGAGGTGACATCATCATGACGTCATCATGCGATTTTATAAGATTTTTTGAATTTTTGGACCTTTAAGCCATATCTCACGAACGCAACATGCAAAATTCAAAATTCTTTTTGTATTTTGTTTTCGCACAAAATTTTGAAAAACGTGTGATGTCATGATGACGTCATCAAAATTGCAATTTTTGAAAACACAAATAAGGGAAAGTCCGATCGTCATAAAACTTGTTGGTTGGCTAAATAATGGTACTGGTAAGCAAAATCTAAAATGACGTCACCATGATGTCATCGCATGATTTTTTTATGATTTTTTAAAAATATTTACAACTTCATTCCGCTTCCAAAATTTAACACTTCCTTTCATTGGATTAACTTCAAGCTTGGTACAAACCAAGACCACAATGCAAAAATGTGCATTGACAAGTGTTATCAAGATGATGTCATCATAAGGCGTGTGGCGTTATTATAAAGATGCATTTTTTTAAGTCTCATATTTATTAAACTATTAGTCTGAATGGGTCAAAATTGCGTACGAAGGTAGTTCGACACGTCTGATTTAATATGGAATTATTTCCTTTTGACGATAATATATATATATATTACAGACGCAACATGCTAAATTTAAAAATTCTTGTACCGTATACTTTAAAACATTGTACATGCATAGTCTGTGACGTGTTATTGATAAAAAATAATCATAATGCGGAAAAGCCCTATGTTCTGTTGTAAACAGACATAGATCTCTAGTTCCATTTGCATGCGTTCAAAACACGTGAGCAATTTTTACATAAAATCATACACATAGGGAAGGAAATCAAGTTTGCAGACTCGCAAAAAAAAGAGAGCGTTTGTCAGCTCTTTTGAAATGGTCATCAGATATTTGCTGGCCCCACCCCTGGATCCGCCACTGAGCATCCGTTTTCTTACAATTTCAGTCTCCAAATACTGCAGATTTTCCATTCGCTGTCTAAACAAATGCACAACAGGCACTGCACAGCACTTTTGACACCATGTAATAATCTTTAAGTCAGGATAGGGATTCTCTTGGACTCATTTCTAGGCTTAATCAAGTGTTGTCAATGTGCTTTTCCTTTGTCTATAGCCTCATGTGTCTGTAGCTTGTTTTACTACATTAATCCTCCCATGCAAACATACATTCTGTGCCAACTTGTCCTTGCAGTCAAAATCAATCAAGTGACTGTTTTCAACCCATAAGAATCCCAGCCAACATAAAGCAGGATTAACTGCCATGGACTGATTAAGTAAAGTTTGATACATCATGATCATCATCGGTCGGCTGCGCAGCAGTCGACTACCAGTTGTCGCCATGCAGGTCTCTGTTGGGCTTGATCCTCAATGATGATGGCTGTGAGGGAACCATCATGGTCCCCCATGATGGACTGCACAAACTGTAGATAGGAGGTGCGTTGCCGCCCTGGACGTCTCTTTCCCTCCTTGGTTGTGTACAGTGCATACATATGTGTAGGCTCTGTCTGTTCATGTGCAAGGTGTGACCTAAGTAGTTCAACTGCCTCTGGTACACCTCGTTGATGAGTGGTTTGGCTTTGACTGTGTTGAGGATGACACTATTCAGGACCCTGTCCATCCGTTTAACGCCTAACATGATGAGGTAGCACGAAGTAGCAAAGGTATTGATCATTTTCTCCATGCTGCTATCCACTATCCATGCTTCGCATCCATACAGTAGCACAGATTTACAAGTTGCGTTTAATAGACGTGTCTTGACATCTGGTGTGAC